GGGCCCTGGCTGCGCCATGCCGGGCGACGTCACGGTCCTTGATTTTAATCTATTCATAAAGGGCTTTTGAACTGCTCTTAGTCTGACCCGTCACCCAGGACCTGTTTGCCTTGGGAGACCCTACCAGGGACATATAGCCCCCGACAACATAGCTCCTAGGATCAGTCGGGTACTCAAACCCCTCCACCACAATAAGGTGGCGGTTCAAGGAGGGGTGTATTAGCATGTACTGTCCTAATCCTGAGCAGACATCCAGACACAGATTACATGCAAGGTCCAAAATTAACATTTTTACTACTAAAGTTGCTGATAGATGAAAAACATTCACTGGCCAAATTTTACCTGCCAAAATACTAAACTGCCTTTTAGTATGACGTACACATTTAGTTCAGGATGTCACTAACTAACATAATAAGGTATTATGTTGAATAGAAATGTACAAAGACCAGAGCAAAATTAAATGTCCTGAGCGTTTGAAATTACTGAGATTCAAATAAAAATCAGCAGTTGTGAAAAATCTTGCTTCATTTGTAAATTTGTTTTTTTTTTCCAATCGTCTAACAACAAATTAGCATAATACAGTTGTGTAATGTAATCTAACAAAGGTAAAGGGCAAATGTAAACATCTGTTGATTATAAGAGTTGGTTTTTGCATAGTTTTAGATTAGAATTTTTTGATTATGTTGAGTTACAAAGCCAAAAGATGTTGCGGGTAAATAATACTCGTGAACACCACCAGTGTAAACTAAAAGAGACACCAGGGTTAAATTCATTTTTGAATTAAAATTGAAAATAGTAAACCTACTGGATTCTTAATCATTTCAACCACCTCTTCTTTGCATGGTCCATGAAGTCTGGTCTCACATGTGTGCCAGAGTGTGGCAAGCACCCATGTTCTGCAGGACCTGCCTGTACTCTGCCTCATAATGATTGTGGTTATGGTCAAATGATTGGTTAGACAAAATTGGACAATATGTGCCACACCCTGTTTACACCAAAAACATTTCGTTTTGAGACAGGTGTGTAACCGACACATTCCTATTTTAATCAGTCTAGCTGATTGCACTGCCTATTTTTCAGCTCGCATATCACTTAAGCTTTGCATGTGTAACTGCAGACTAAAGCACATTTTGACGTTTTTCCCAGGAAGCCACTCAGAGGCAGAGTAGGGGCAGGTCTTCACAGAAAATGTGTGTGTGTGTGTGTGTGTGTGTGTGTGTGTGGGCGTGCTTGCGTGCGTGCCTTATTTGCTCTTAGTTAACTCTGCTATCAATCACCATACAAGACAAGCTAAAGCTGCTAATCAATAATGTGGTTTATATAGGTCTGCATGTTTGTTTAAGCAGTACAGAGTGACTCTGCAGAGTCTGGCTTACTTCACTCTGCTGGTCCACTGTGCAACCGGAGCATTCTTTAAAATGGCTTTACTCCCTCTGTGCCTTCTTGTATAGGCATGAAATCATCTGATAACCAACTTCCATATGGAGTACAATAGAGGCGGAATCTGAAAAAGTACAAGCAGTCCATTTTTAAGTTGTTCATTGGAAATACAACACACTCAAAGGACTCAAGGTATTTTGCATTTTGCTGCATCATGCCTCAGCCTGCCCCAAGAGGAGTTTATCTCACCAGTGCAGCACCATGCTGATGAGCTATGTGTCTAATTCTACTTCTTAAATGTGCCCACCTCTCTGGATGTTTTCCTACATGTAGCTCAGTGGTGCGCTTACCCCATCCGTCCTACTGGAGTTGAATTTAAATCAATATGGCCACAGGGGGAATAGAGCAGATTTCATCCTTCTGCTGTACCTCATCAAGCTGCTGCTGGTTGTTGCTCTGAGTTAAAATTACACAAGAGAGAAGCTTCTGTTTGATAGTGTGAGCAAAGCAAAATAGTGTGCATAATTTGGTGGTGCAGTGGGGTCTTGCTCACACTTCATATGATATCTGTATGTAAAAGAAATGATTGGCCCCTGCTCTCACATATTTCTCTCTCTTCTCTTTTGCCCCTTTCCTCCATCACTGTTGTAAATAGATGTGGGGAAAACTGCCATCCATCTCTGACAAACTGATCAGAGGCTCATGCCACAAGCCCTGTTGTAGCCAAAGTCGTCATTAAATTGAGCTGCTTGTGCAAGATGAAAGATGGACATTTGTTAAGTCAACACGCTGTCAGTGGACATGGAAAGAGAGGGAGAAACGGTGGTGCAGACAGGGAGAAAGAGGGAGGATTAGAGAGGACAGAGAGACCGAGAAAATTAGGAAAGCAGGACGTGAAATGAAAGAGAAAGAAATTGAGTCAATGCAATAAAATACTAGCTTTGAAATGTCAGCTGCATTTTTCACCCTTGAGCCCTGTTATTTCTGGGAATCCATACTGTCTCCATGCAGCCCTTATCCATCAGTCACTGAATGATGCAGCTTTATCTGTCATTGCTCTCAATTCAACACCTCTTACACCTTCTCAATAATTGATAGGCATAATGCATATTGGTGGAGGGATGAATTTGGAACAGTACATTTCATTTACCACCTCCCTCGCCTGGTGCCCTTTCTTTGCTCATCACACAGTTAAACTCTCCTCAACCCATGAACAGCATGAGGCCAGAGGCATATAAATGTTTGCACTCTCCATACATATTTCACATGAAAGAGTCACAACTGTCACCATAAAATAATTCACCTCACCAAGTAGAGGATGCATGCGGACACACACACTTGATACATAGATAGTATTCATGCTGTGATAAGAGTAAGGGCCTATCCTCACTGTCTCCAATGCTTGTTCTACACTCACAGGCCACTTTATTAGGTACATATGTACAACTGTATGTACGCCAGTGCAACACTTCTGCCTTAACATCTGTGTTTATGACGCTCAAAATGTTTCAGTTTTTAGTGAAATTGTCATAAATATATAAATTCAGTTATATGTTTATTATTGAGGTCATAGTTAAAGGTGGTGTTGTACTGGACTACAGAAGTGTTTCAATGAATTGCATACAATTGTACAGGTGTACCTAATAAAGTGGCCTGTGAGCGTATATGAGCATGTATTGATTTCCCCGACACTCGGCCATGGCTATGGCCATGTGTGTTGGAGCTCGCTGATGGCACAGTGACTGATGAATTGCTCACACTGCCAAACCTCACATGCACTCTGAATTTAACATGCATTATCAAACACATTAGGCGTCTCATTTTAGAGCTGCTCAAAATAGAAAAGAGAAGTCAAAAAATAGGATTTCTTCTACGCTGTTGTGTAACCTAAAGAGGGTCTTTCTCTCATTTATATTCTCTGTTCTCTAAATTGAAAGGCATTTAGTGATACAAAGAATGTATCCAGAGGCTTTACAAAATGCATCTTCTGCTGCCTTTTTAATGTCTTTCTGCCAAAGCCTCTGACTTCAAAGGTGCTGGTAAGCTTTATTTTTACAGCTTTTTCTATTATGCCACCCATGGAGTTTGGAGACTGATAAAAATTGGTGAAGGGAGGGAGGCCCATCCAATTACCTCTATCTGAAATGGAAGCAACACTAATCTGGAAATTTTTTTCTGTAATATTCAAGAGACCATGTCATGTTCATGGTACAGAACTCTGACATCTGTTCAGCTGTGTCAGGCTGTCCAACACGGCAACTCAAGCTGAAAATCTCAGTGCCACACTTTGCAAGATTTTACTGTTGATCCATCTGTTACTTTTAAAACTGTATTAACTGTATCAAATAGAACTTTAATTCTAAATATTTATGCTTCAAGATTTCAACTCCATGACAGTCACTGTGCTATTCATGGCTTTACCAGCTTGGGAGAAAACCCCAGTCAGGCACATCTGTTTGAAAATTTTGTACTATAATAAAGTGAAAACATGTGGTGCGATACTAATGTTTACCAGTCCAAACAGTTTGTGATGACATGTCAGATGTATTGTGATATACAATAACAGTTTTAGGACAACATGATGATGCAGAGGTTAGCGCTATAAAGGTTATGGGTTTGAACCTGCCAGCTGGCTGGGACCTTTCTATGTGGAGTTTACATTTTAACCTTGGAGTGCCAACTCCCACAGTCCAAAGACATGTAGGTTGAATGGTGACTAAATTGCCTGTAGGTGTGAGTGTGAATGGTTATTTGTCTCTGTGACAGCCATGGCCACCATTAGCTGCATTTTGCATCATGGCCTGGTTGCTTTGTTTTATTGCTGCTTTAACATTCATTTCTCATTAGTGTGTTAGAAATTGCATAAACCTATAGTATTCCCTTCTCATCAACCTATGTAATAAGGTTCAAACCTGTGCATACTACTATGCTTTTTGCAGTGTTTGCATGTGCTTTATGTCCTGAAAATCTCTGCTTGTTTTAATGCCTCATGTTGCTTTTGGCCCATCAATTCAACAGGACACCTGAAAACAAAACATATTTTATAAAAACAAGAAATGCCTTTCTTATTCTGCACTGATGAATAAAAATGGTGATAATTCTGTTAGGCTTAATATTTGAGTTTCAGAGTTCAGTTTCTTTCAGTTGCAAGAGCTTTGACCCTATGCTTCTGACCCGTGGTATGTATTATCCATCTCCCTGCCAGCCTGTCCAGGGCTTTGACTACGCCAAGAAACACATGGGTCGAACAGGTGATGAGGCCACCTCTGTTACTAAGGAGACGCTGGTGTTGGGCCTGCCTGTGCGAGATGCTCCACTGCCACTGTCGTTGGATAAGAAGGTCCACCAGGATGGGACTGCCAATAAGAGGCCTCCATCTGCTGACATACACAAAGGAGGGTAAGACAGTGACTCCTTTATTAACTTTAATGGGTTACTGTTGTGGAAGGAAGACACTGATTGCGTGGATGCTGTAAAGCACATGTGTCAAACTCAAGGCCCGCGGGCCACATCCGGCCCGTGAGATCATTTTATATATCTCTTTTTTTTTTTTTAAATGAAGCACTGATAACACACAAACTACAAATCCCATAATGCTGCTTAACAGCTGCCTTACCAAACGATAAGCTACCTGCGATCATTCCCATGTCAATTACGTCGGATCAATTAAGCGTCTGTTGATGTATACAACCCTAATCTCAAGTCAAAGCTAGTCCCTAACAATGGCCAAGAGAAAAGTTGATTCTGAAAACAGAGCCTTTCTAAACCGGTAGTATATGTTTACTGACATTGTCGGTAAACCCGTGTGTCTTATTTGTGGAGCTAATGTGGCTGTAATTAAGGAATATAACCTAAGATGGCACTACGAGACAAAACATCAGGACAAGCTGAAAAACGTGAATGAAGAGCAGAAGCTACAGAAGGTAGAGGAGTTGAAGAGGAATCTGACATCACAGCAGACGTTTTCACCAAAGGGAAATCACACAGTGAAGCTGCTGTGAAAGAAGTTTTATTGGGACAGAGGAGAAAATCAGCCCTGGACATTTACCGAGGGAGAGTTTCTGAAGAGCTGCATGATGAAAGTGTGAGACGTCTGGTGTCCAGACAAAAAGCAGGTGTTTGTTAATGTACTAAGCCTTAGCAGAAATAGGGTTGGTGATTTTAAGTTTGTTTATTTATTTTGGAATAATATTGAATGTGTTATGATCGCCTGGACATGGAGGTGAGCAAGGAAGAATAGACAGACCCAGGTGGCTGACTTCGGTGCAAGTAGTGCTAAATTTATTTACAGTGACAATCACAGACAGGTAAATAGACAGGTGAAGGAAGATGGAGTGTAACCGGGCATCAAGCAGCAGCCTAGGAAAACAGTCAGTTGTGCGATGAATGATGGTAGACCGGGCTGCAGATGCTGGGGGTCACTCCTGAACTGGTTGTGGTTGAAGTGGTGGTGGCTGAGAAGACAGAGGTACGTACAGACAGTTAATGACGACTGTGCATCGACCTGTATGGTGGAGACTGGCAGGGTTGAGTAATTCCAGGGTCCGGAGGAGAGGCCCGTGGAGGAGGAAAGTGTAGCAGGGACGGAAGCAAGAGGCTATGGAGGCGAAGGGAAAACAGGGCTGGCAGGAGCTAGGGAAAAATGTAAGGACTAGGATAATACAACTGGTGGACAAAAAATAATGAGCAAAGGGGGGCCTGAGAGTCCAGAAAGAACTGGCAAGGGAATGAACGGTGAGCAGGGTATAAGTAGGGAGAAAACCAATCAGGTGCAGCTGGTGATGATCTGGGGGGGTGAAGCAGGTGTTCCAGATAGTGTAATCAGGGTAAAGAAACCAAAACAGAGTGAGGGAAGTGAGAGAGGCAGGTGCAGCCGGGCAAACCTGACAGAATGAATGAAGGTTGGTGCACAGATGTCACAGTGCTACAGAGGACATGTACCACAGACCTAGAGACTCTTGTTATCAACTGCAAACCCTTTTACTCTCCCCGTGAATTCAACAGTTTCATGCTAATGGGAGTGTACATAACACCGCAGGCTAACGCTAGCGCACTACGGCTCCTAGCAGAACTGATAACTAGCCTGGAGCTAGAACATCCTGACTTTCCACTCATTGTTCTAGGGGACTTTAACAGAGCAA